GGTACCGGGCGGGGGTGGCGATACCGGGCGGGAACACCGCGATCCCGTGTCCCGGAGCACGCTGGGGTACCGGGGCCAGCGGTGGGTGGATGCTCTGACCGGGACACCGGGAGGAGCAGGGAAGCGGAGCCTGGGGGTGACTGTAATGGGGGGATTAGGCATTGATCCCCCCGCATTCCCCGACTCCCTGCAGTGGTGAAGAACTACTTCCAGCTGCGGGAATTCTCCTTCACGCTGCGGGATGATGTGTACCTGCGGTTCCAGTCCTTCGGCAGCCCCCAGGAGCTGGAGCGGGAGCTGCAGAAGATCAACCCCTACAAGATCGACATCGGGGCCGTCTATTCCCACCGGGTGAGTCCCGACCACCGTGACCGGGGGTCTGCAGGGGTCCCTGGCCACACTGAGCCCGTCCCATCCCTCGTGCAGCCCAACCAGCACAACACGGTGCACCTGGGAGCCTTCCAGCCGCAGGAGAAGGAGCTGGTCTTTGACATCGACATGACGGATTACGATGACGTCCGGACGTGCTGCAGGTTCCCGGGGGGGCTCTGGGCTGGGAGGGAGGTTCGGGGATGTGGGGTGTCCACCTGACCCCCCTCACTCTGCCCCCAGCTCGGCCGATATCTGCTCCAAGTGCTGGACGCTGATGACCATCGCCGTCCGCATCATTGACCGCGCGCTCGTGGGTGAGACGAGACACGCTCGGCCCCATGGCGATGCCCAGACCCCGGACAGGCAGATTTGTGGCACTGTCAGCTTTGGGTGGTGGCCACAGCCTGTCCCCATATGGCCCCTGTGCCCCCCAAAACCCATCTGTGCCCCCCGCAGAGGACCTGGGCGTGCGGCACCGCCTGTGGGTGTACTCGGGCCGGAGGGGTGTGCACTGCTGGGTGTGCGACGATGCGGTGAGGAAATGGTCCCCGGCACTGCGGGCGGCTGCTGTGGAGTACCTGAGCCTGGTGAAGGTGGGTGCAAGGTGGGCCAGGAGCCCCCTGCCCACCCCTGACCCTGTGGAAAAGTGGGTTTACGGAGCTTTGGGCACTCCTGAGCCTGGAGTAGGTGGGTTTGTGGGGGTCTGGGCACCTCCTGAGCCTGGAGGAGGTGGGTTTAGGGGGCCAAGCACGCCCTCACCCTGATGAAAGTGATTTTGTGGGGGTCTGGGCACCCTGTGGCACTGCTGAGGGTGGGATTATGGTGGTCTGGGCACTCCTGACCCTAGAGTAGGTGGGTTTAGGGGGCTTTGGGCACCCCCCACACCCTGATAAAGGTGGGTTTATGGGAATTTGGGCACTCCTGACCCTGGAGTAGGTGGGTTTGTGGGGGTCTGGGCACCTCCTGACCCTGGAGGAGGTGGGTTTAGGGGGCCAAGCACGCCCTCACCCTGATAGAAGTGGTTTTGTGGGGGTCTGGGCACCTTGTGACACGGCTGAGGGTGGGATTATGGGGATCTGGGCACTCCTGACCCTGGAGTAGGTGGGTTTAAGGGGCTTTGGGCACCCCCTGCCCCTGATAAAAGTGGTTTTGTGGGGGTCTGAGCACTCCTGACCCTGGAGTAGATGGGTTTAAGGGGCTTTGGGCACTCTTCACCCTGGAGTAGGTGGTTTTGTGGGGTCTGGGCACCCTATGACACTGCTGAGGGTGGGTTTATGGGGCTTTGGGCACCCCCAGCACCCTGATAAAGGTGGGTTTATGGGACTTTGGGCACTCTTCACCCTGGAGTAGGTGGGTTTTTGGGGGTCTGGGCACTCCTAACCCTGGAGTAGGTGGGTTTTTGGGGGTCTGGGCACTCCTGACCCTGGAGTAGGTGGGTTTTTGGGGGTCTGGGCACTCTTCACCCTGGAGTAGGTGGGTTTTTGGGGGTCTGGGCACTCCTAACCCTGGAGTAGGTGGGTTTTTG